CTTCCTTCCTTCCTTCCTTCCTTCCTTCCTTCCTTCCTTCCTTCCTTTCAACATATATGCCAACTTCCAAAGAAAAGGCTGAATTGCATTAAACCACAATTTTTATTTTCTGAGAAGCCCTATTAATCTAGATGGGGCACACAAAGAAACTGAAGGGTAGCATACTGCTTTCATCCTATTAACTTTTCTTTTAAGAAAATGAATGTTTTGTAAAAACCAAGACAGATGCCTGAGATATCTAAGTATGATGTTCCTTATCTTTAATCATCCTATGATTGTAAATTGTGCAAATTGTGCAAAAATATGCAGTCTATCTTGATTTGGACATTTTTGAAACTGCATTATTTTCATCAGAAACATTCTCCAAAAAATAAGAATGAAATTTTAAAATCATATTGGCAATCTCTGGATATTAAAGCCCGACTCAAATATCAGGACAAATTGTTCTATCAAAAACACTCAATAATCTTGAAAGAAAGATGGGACTACCCTCTTGTGGCCAGTCACCAATACAACATTTTACTTAGGAATTGTTTACCATTGTGGCTTTTATTAAAGTATAAATAAATATTATGTATATTGTGTTCATTGCCATTCAATAAACTATAAATTTAGAAAAGCCTTCCTGGTGAATTTATAAAAGGGTAGACTATTTTAGATCTTTTAGTAATGAAATTTTCTGCAGTTTACAGAAGAAATCTATTTTATTCTGCTGGGGACTGCTGGAGCGGGCTTGGAGAATAAATTTAATGAGACAAATAAAACTGAACTTTCATACATAGATACATTTGGAAAGAAACTGAAATTATCATTTTTTACCTAATTTCAGATTTGAGAAAAATATTGATTTCGTAGCTGTCTGTAATCATGTTATAATATTTTAATTATTAAAATATCTTCTGATTAAGCTTTTGAAATACTTGTTAAGCTTTGATGAACATTTAATCTTTTTAGGCATCTACATAAACTTGACTTTATTATCTCTGTGAGATGATCCATATTTCTTAAAAGACAGTTTGAATGAGTGCTCTTGAACTATTATTTTTTTTTAAATGACATCTAATAATGCATAATCAAAATGAATTTTCTTGTGAGAAATGTAAAAGTAACTTGTGCTGATATTCCAGATATTATGATGTGAAGTTTTGGTTTCTAACATTTAGGTTGTTGGTTTGCTTCCAGGTTGTTTGGTGCCAAAGCCAGTGGCAAAGCTGCCACTGCACCAAATACAGAAGGCGTGAAATCTACATCTGCCATGCCTAGCCCTAGTACCACATTAGCTCGGCAAGGCAGTCTGGAATCTCCATCTTCAGGTACAGGTAGCATGGGCAGTGCAGGTGGGCAGAGTGGAAGCAGTAGCCCCCTCTTCAATAAGCCCTCGGACTTAAATACAGATACTGTAGGCCTAAGTCACTCCTTGGCTTCAAGTCCAGCCTCAGCCCATTCTTTTACATCAGGTGGTCTTGTGTGGGCTGCAAACCTGAGTAGTTCTTCTGCTGGTAGTAAAGATACACCAAGTTACCAGTCAATGACTAGCCTTCACACCAGCTCTGAATCTATTGATCTCCCTCTTAGTCATCATGGCTCCCTCTCTGGATTGACCACAAGCACTCAAGAAGTTCAGAGCCTGCTCATGAGAACTGGAAGTGTCAGATCTACTCTTTCAGAAAGGTGAGTCAAACTGAGATTGGGGTGGGGTGGGGTCTCTGAAAAACTAAGGATTGAAAAAAGCCTAAGAATTCATTCAATAGATTCCTTCTACAGAATCTATTAAATTATGACTGTTTGAAATTAAGATACTTGGGAAACGTTTAGAAAATAGTGGTGTTATAAATAAAATTAACAGTCGCCATGGCTTCAAAATAGTGATTCTTTCCTTCATTTGCTTAGATTATTCTCAAAATTGCAAAAAGAGGATAATCTCAAGTAGTTTAACCTGGCCAATGTATATTATATGTAACAGTGTAATTGTGCTTCATAAATTCTAGCTTACTTTATATTAGTGCTTGGAATTTGGGCAGAAGCTACAAAATGGTTGTTGTCTGGGGTAGCATTATATAAATAATCTCTTTCCTTCTCTCTGAAGATTTCTGTAGAAAGTCTCCTTTTAAAATAATTACACACTACCCAAAGCTCATAATTGTTTAACTGTAGCCATGAATAGTGTTAATCTTGTATGTGAAAGTTTTAACTGTAAAACATTATATTTATTTTTATGAAAAGAAGTATATAATACATTTAAAAATCAATACAGAAGCAATTCAGTTTCATAAAGTTCAACAACCTTCTCTCACTCATGACATTTAGAAATGTTGAATTGCAAACCTCTTGTCAGTTCTAACAAGCAGGGAGATTTAGCCTTTTGTGTTTAGTTGATTGGAGGAGACCAGCTGGGGAAAGGCTAAATGTAGCATTTAAATGGTGTTTGAAAATAAACATAGTTAAGAATTAATACAGAAGGAGACCTTTTAGACATCTTGTGGTTGTGCTAAGAAGCTAATAACTTTTGTCAAGTCTTTGTGAGACCAAAACAAATTGATGTGTTTTTGGCAAATATGAGATTCAAATATGAGAGTTCTCATGAAACTATGTATTATGTACTCAGTGCTTCACTTCACAGTATTTCTATGTATTATGTTGCATGAATCTGTGTGCATGTATACATGCATACACCAATGCTTTGTTTCTTCTTGGAATACCTCTGCTTTCCAGACTATTGATTGTATGCTATATTTGTCTTCACAAATGTGAAAGAAAACGAAGCAAGCAGCATAAACTAATACAGATCCACAGCAACAGCTGCATAAGCTGTCCAACACAGGCTGCAATATTTCTCATAGACATATCTGAAGATATAGTAGCCAAAAAACAATTTTCTCTACTGCTCCAGACTGGAATACTAAAGTATTCAGCAAATAGATGACAATTATATTGAACTAAATAGCTTATGCTCATAGAAAACAATTATTTAATTGTATAGGAGTTTTTTCCCTGACCAGGCATATCAGGAATACCACTGAATATTTAAAATATTTACCATAGTGTAATACATTATTACTATTTATACTATAGTAAATATTTTAACATTCATTTGTATTGCTAACATATCTGGTGTAATATGGTATAATCATTCATCATTTACTGAATCTGTTTGATTTACCTTTTACTAAAAAATTGCAACCCAAAGTCATGTTTTGTGAGTTGCACAGCTATATAATTTTGTTAAATAAGTAACTAGTAAGATGTTGTAGTGAATATTTTTTAATAGTTGGTGATATTCCTATATGCAATCAATGAAAAAGGGATCTTGTTTTAGTTGTATCCCTTTTATGTCTATTTCAGCATCATGAACATAAGATACACCTTCAAAACTTGATGGACACAATTAACTGTTTGGTACCCATCCCTTTGACTTTGTAAACGATACTCCCAATGTAGCAAATTTATTTAATTAAAATTTTCTTTCAATCAGCCAGGCTTAGTGATCAGAGTTGTGATTTATCTCCTTTAAGATCTTAAATAGGTTCTTTATTTAACTCCTAGGTTTTATTGCAGAGAATTGCCCCAGCATCTCTGCAAGTTTCCTCTTTCTACAGGGTTTTGTTTCATCTTAATGCTTTAGGAATTCTGGATGGCTTATTTCATGTATATCTTCCTGTGATACCTGCCCTTCTACCTTGCTGATTAATTGGAGCCCTGAGCTTGGTATGCTTTTTATTTTCCAAGATGAGCTCTGGGCAAGGTTTGCAGTAAATATGTTTTGGCTATCTTCTGATCCTCTTCTGTGTGAAGATCTGACATATGGGTTATGCTACATCTTCTCTTAATAAGTACATAGGGACAATCTTCCATCTTTACAAAGTTCTTCTCTTTTTCCAACCACATTCCACTGAAAAGTTTAAATAGGATATTGGCACTCATGCACAAATATTGGTCAATAACAAGCCAATATATGAATAGAATAGAATAAAATATGTACAGATTATGACTTCTACATCCATTCAGGCAATTACTTTTTCCAAACATCCTCTCACATTTTTATCTGGCTCCACCCCTTCTTGTGGGGTTTCTCTTCAAATGTTAAGTCCAGTCCTTGATCCCTTACTCTCATGCTATCAAGAAAAAGATGTAGCATTAGGCCATATGAGAAGTTTGTCTGTTGACAGACAAATATTCAGATTTAGTGGTCACTTGTTTTTTGCTGTTCAAGTAAAACACAAATATGATTGATTTAGTTATTGTTCATATACATTGTGAAGTAGTCCACAGCTCAGGACACATTTTATTACTTCTTTCATCAATTTGTCTTTGTATTGTCAAACCAAGTCTGGCACTAAGGATGCCACAGTAATCCAACAGATTCGTTTTTTGATATGGGGACTGTAATTTATTTTCAGCTGTTCAAATAGAAGGAAAGCTTTACTTGTGTTTACATGATGACAGATAGTTGTTGTTTTAGTAAAAAAAAAAAAAAAAAAGAGGTAGGTTTTGTACTTGCTATGTCAGGAGATCCAAGAAAGCAAATATAAAATTAAAAATCATATTTATCTACCACATTAGATACTAGGAATGAACTTCTATGTTTGTTTTGAAAAAAATACACTACACTATACATTATCTTTTAAATTGTTTTTATAAATTAAAGCTGTAAGCTGTTAGAAACAATGTAATGTTAAAACATAAGAAAAATCTATAGCATTTTAAATAATAAAAATCTATATTGTTTTCAATAAATATTTGTTTTTGTTTTTCTATAGGAGGTTTAGCTTTTTTCAAAAAAATTGTTGATTTGTTCATTAGGTACAAAATTCATCACAACAAAAATTAAGACCTTTCCATATGATTAATTTTCAAACTTCAGCCTAATTTTTAGTGCTATCTTGGTTTTACAGTTGGCGTTATATGCTTCATAACTATTATATCAGTAGCCAACAAAATATAATGACATACAGAACATGACTGTAGTTTGAGCATCAAAACCTGAAAGAAGATAAAATTGCAAATTCTCAGGTGCTAAAAACAGATTGTCCTTTCTTAACTAATGGTCAAGGAAAAAAGTCTTGGGCAGATCTAGAGAGAAAAGAAATCTAGACTCAGAACAACTTAGCCATCCTGAGCTTACATTAAAATCATATCTGAATCCAGTTCATTTGTTTAGGCTCTCCTGTCAACATATAATTTGTAGGGTGGTATGCTAAACTTTCAGCTGTTTTCTATGTTCAAATTTCATGAGAATTGGAGATGGCAAGATATGTTTGGCATTTTATGCATTTACGTTTTATAAATGAACTTGCCTTTTGAAAAATTCTGACTTAGATATTAAACTATGCTTATGGAAAGAAATCACATTAGCACAATAAATTGAAATCAAACAATATGCCATCTGTATTATCCAGACATTCTTCCCAAAGAATATAAGAATCTGAATTAATAATAATAATAAATAACTAAAGCTAGATATGATTTCAACATTGTAAAAATGTAAGAAAAGGCCACAGAAAAGAGAAAAACTTTGAACAGTATGAACACATCTCATTTACAGATTTTCCATTAAAAATAGTTTTTATAAAACACAATATCTGCAATTCAAACCTTTTTAGACCTTTTAATTTTGAAGTATTCTGTTTATTGTATGTCTTTAGGGTTTTTCTTTGTTTTAACAGCATGCAGCTTGACAGAAATACACTGCCCAAAAAGGGATTAAGGTATATAATATTTTATTCAGCATGACTGCTGTTTCTCTGTTGTTCTGTAACTTCTCTCTATTCTTGTTACTGTGTAACCTGTAGTGGACAACTAATAGTACTTCCATTTATGTTTAGAAATTAGATTGTTAAAAGGTTAAAATATTTTCTCTGACAATGAGAAGAATAAGAATAATTGGTAGGCTGCATTCAGCAATTGTAATAACATATTTTCATATCTGAAAATGGTTTTTTTTTCTCCCAGTTGCTCAACTGTTTCACAGGAACTTCCAGATAAGTTTCAAATTTTGCTTTGGGTGGTATCCTCTGACAGTCTAAGTCAGTAATTGTCAAAGTATGGTCCTTTGACCACCAATCATTTGCAAAAGCCCATCAAGTGTTTTTCCACAGCTTTACACATTCACTGGGCAGGTCCTATTTTTGATCTAGGGTCCACCTTCCTAATATGCAACACACTAAAAATGCATTTTGTTTGATCATAACAATTTCACTGATTCCTCAAATTCATCTGAAATAAGAACCCAGATTTTGCTTCAAATGTCACTTTAAAGATATAACTTGCCACTGCTCATAGTTTTCTGTTCTTTATAAATTGACTCCTTACAAATTTATTTCTTATTCAAATAAAAAAATATCCATTTACCACCACAATCATGCCGATTATTATTGAATCCTACAGTTTTACTTTATTTCTGGCTTTAAACAGACTTTCAGAGAGCAAGAACTGCTGCTTAGTTTCCAAAAGTTTTCAATAATAATATTTTCAAGTAGAAAAGATACAGCATTCTTCTGCTGCAGTGAAGGTATATTTCAGTGAACTGAAGCTGCATTTGAGGTGGGTTTTCTAAGGAGACTGATGGAAAAAAATCCTAAAAAAGAACAAGTTACACTTTTACCTACATTTTTGCTTATTCAAAATAATTATGCTACAATTGGTAGAACTATATTAAGTCTTCTAGAATCCAGGGAGAGAGTTTTACCATCTTTTTTCCTCTTTATCTGAAGACATCATCTTCAATTCTGTTAAAGAAAAGTAAATAGTCAATTCCTGTGAAAATTATCAGTGCCAATACTGTACATATGATGTGTTCCTTGTTCTTGGGTGTCAGTCAATTAAAATCTGATCTCAAGACTAACATTAGTGATGCACTGTCAAGTTACTGAAATATTAGATTGCAATGAAATATTTTTTCTTGAGATGCATATTAAGTAATAATCAGTTGAGCTTAGTAAATCTCTAATATATTTCAGAGTAGAAAAATAGTATCAATCCTATTGGTTGTCTAAATATACCCACCTTAGCAAACCTTGTCCCCACCCATGGATCAAGTATTATCAAAGTCTAGCAGCCCAACAGTCTGTTTCCACATATATGAAGAAATGGGTCTGATTATTACAGCAAGAGCAAGTTTTATGTGCAGGCAAAAGACAGCAGATGCAAAGTCAGTTTTAAAAACAGACTTTGTGAAAATCACAGCACCAGTTTTTTTTTAAATCTTCATTTTTTAACTTTGCAAAACATTTGATTATATATGAAATGTAAGCACTACATTGCAATCTGACTATCTAAAAGGACCTTATGTACTTATTACAGAACACTTTCTAAGCCTTTATCACAAATGTGGGCTGATATACTGTTAGAAATACATGTTTGTCCTTGGCAGCAATCCCCCAAACTCTATGGAAATTAAGTTTACCAAGTGTTGGTTTCAGCAAACACAGTTCTTCACAAGAGAGTATTTCTTGTTCATTTCTTATATCTATCTATTTAGTGGTAAAGTGGTATCCCAGGATCACTCTGTGGACAAAATAATGCTTTTTCCCTCATAAGATGTCCCATCAAGTGTCACTTACAAATCCAAATTGTTTCTTTTTATAGTGTTGATTTATTCTCTTCTAGCTATCATTATATAGGAACTGAAAACTGTTCTCTTTTCACCACCAATTATTTTTTTAAAAGTGTCATTATGCTTGAATTCAGATTCTGTTTCTTTGTCTTCTAAAGTTTTAAAATCTTTTCTGAACAATTTCCTCTGCATGATTTTCTGTTAGATGCCAATTGTCTCTCTGTTAATGATTTGTCTGTCTTTTTCTTGGGTGATATGAAAAAGGGCATACTGTTACCTCAAATATTCTATTAAAATCATCTGAACTGAGAGTGATGCTTGATAACAGTCTCTAATCTTTGGGTAAGTGTTGCACTTTAGTTGCATACAGCATGTGAATGTTTTTAATCTGTCCATCATCTGTTTCAGGTATACTCCATCATCTCGCCAGGCTGGTCAAGAGGAAGGGAAAGAGTGGCTACGTTCACATTCTACTGGAGGTCTACAAGACACTGGACATCAGTCTCCCCTGGTTTCTCCTACAGCTATGTCTTCCTCTGCAACTGGCAAATATTTCTCTAATTTAGGTAAGAAGGAATAATTTGCATTGTTACTTTATTCTATTTTAGTGAAGTCATATCCTCCATTAATTTGGCAGAAGCAATTCATATGTTTTTCCAGATTAAGTTTTCTCATGTCAGTTACAGATTCTGCTGTTTTTTTGTTTTTGTTTTTTGTTTTGCAAAATTTCCTCTTTCACCTATCGGTGTCTCATTTCCCCATAAGTTGAGTCTTTCAGAAATGTTTTAGCTATTTCAAAGCAAATGCTGCGGATAGTGGCTTGGTTTAAAAAACTATATGACACTGTGTGAAAAAAGATAAATCTTGTTTTGTCTAAAGAAACATTAAAAGGATCAAATATCTTCCCCTTAAGACCTTCGGAAAGTGATTTTTCAAATGATAGTTCCCTGTGTGTGAAGGAGGAAAGAAAAGAAAGAAGTACATATTTCAAATCATGGCTAAAAACAGCTCTGTATCATGGAATTATCAAATGCCATCTATTTAAGATTATAAATACATTTTGGTGTATTAGATAACAGTAGCTGCTACAACTAAGAAAAAATGGGCAGAGATATACAACTTTGCCTAGTCCAAGAGGTTTATTTGTAAATAGCCCATAGAAAAAAAATAAATTTTATTTTCCTTTACATGTAATTAATTACTTATAAATAATATAATTCCTCATTAAAAATTTACCATTCAATTATGGAGAAAAAAACATTTTGTTAAGAACCTCTGGAGCACATCTAAAAATGTGAAGCCACATTTGACTCTAAAGCTACAATCTATACTCTAATAACCAAGAGGTTCAATTTATGCTAGAAATGGTTTTAATTTTTTTATAAAACATAGCCAATATATCACTTCATTCAATAGATTTTCCCTAGAATATACATAGCATTTTACTCCAACTTATTAAAATTTTTGTTTGATATTGCAGTAAGTCCAACAAATTTATCCCAGTTCAAACTTTCTGGACCTAGTATGATGAGATCAAACAGCAATCCTGCACAAGATTCTTCATTCGATCTCTATGATGATTCTCAGTTGTGTGGTAGTGCTACATCCTTAGAGGACAGACCTCGTGCAATTAGTCATTCTGGTTCATTCAGAGATAGTATGGAAGAAGGTAAGAGGATGTGAAGCAATGTAGAATGAACAATTGTTGTATTACTCAGAGTTTAACCCAAGCCATAATTAGAGTTTATAGATATATTAGAAGTAAATCATAGATTTTAACTGATTTTTGTTTTCTTTCTGCTTGGAATTCTCTCTTATTTTTATAGTTCAATAGAACTATGGAACTTTGGAAACATAACAATACTCAAGTTTATCAATAATTACAATCAATGCATCCTTAAAGACAATAGGCTTATTCTATCTTTTGTAAATATTTTCAGCATTTCATCACTTTCCTTTGTTAAGTTGCAGCAATTATACATTACCTTTTCTATGCTTCCTCGGACAGTTATTCATAATCACACCTGTTACCAAGTTGCTGAAGACTTTTAATCAAATCAAAATCATATAAAATAAAATCAATCTCTATTATCATCATATGACACTCATCAATTTGATTTTTTCATTATGAGTGCTGATTCCTTATACCCACATTGCATGATTATACAAAAACATTGTTTTTGTTTACATTAAGGTATTTCTTCTGTTTTTCTGCATAGATTTGGCACCAGCCCATATTTAATGAGCACTTGATTCTGGCACCTGCAACAATCCAAGCTCATTTTGTTCTGTGTTTTTAGCAAATGAATTGCCTATCATAGCATAGAGATAATAAAATTTAAAATCACATCACTTCAATGACCCAAGTGGCTTTGCTTAGTAAAGACCTAATAGTATGCAAACAATTAGCAATACTCTGGGTCAATTTGTGTTAAAAAAAGCAGGGTACCTTGCAATAGGAGCAACCCTATGCTCCTATTATAGATATCATGGGCCTTAACACTTGCTACTTGCATTGCAAAAGATTCACACCAATGGATGCTTTATTCTCTGAAATAAATAACAGTCATGGGAATTGTATAAATCTGGAGTTTATATTCAATATAAACTAGTGAAGTATGAAGGTTTATAGCCCTCCCTGTTCTGCAATATAATAATTCCAATCTGGACCAAATTCTTAATCCAACAAAGTTCTTGTCTGAATTTTTGATTTTACTTTTTGATGTTACTTTTTAAAAATGCAAATTGCTAAGTGTGGTTGCTATGTCTCATTTTATTCTAAGCTTCACAAACAAGTTAAAATTGTTTTCATATGCTGTGTTATCAAAGCAATACTTTTAAAACAGAACCATCTCATTTACAGTGGAAGCTGCCTGCCTGGCAATAACAACTTTTATCTTCCATGAAATGTAGAGTCTATTCGGCAATTGATACTTTCTGTATTTGCTGTACCAAAAATTGCTTTGCCAAAGGGTAACATTCAGATGCTGTTTTCCTATCAGAACAAAATAAATGATGGTGTTGCTTACTGGCAAAACTGCAATGTATTACTAAAATCTCTGTGTACTGGTGCTTTTTTAAGCATAGAAAAATCATTGTGTGGAATAAAAATATATTTCTAAACAGGTAGTCTCTGTAATAGTTTTCTCCTTGGAGACAATTGCTTGAATTTAAAAAGAGATGTTCTGTTATCAAATTTGACAAGGAATCACTGCTGTTGCTTTATCAATGTACATTCTAATACCAGCATTGGTGTTTTTGTTTTAGTACATGGATCTTCATTATCACTAGTTTCCAGCACTTCTTCTCTGTACTCCACAGTAAGTCTTTAACATATATTAAAATCTTGGATGTTGTAGATTCTGTGTATGGTTTTTAAAATTTGCTTGAAAACACATTAACATCTAGATTGATAACTGCTTTGATATTAATATATGCACAAAAGTAAAAAAAGGACGAGTGGCTGGTGAAGATGACAGAATTAGCAGAGATGGAAAACTTGACTTTTTTGATTGGAGGAAAGAAAATAATGTATTAGTGACTAGAAACCCTTTATGAAGTTTTTTTTCTGAAAAAAGAAAAGAATCAATTTCTTATTTATGAGGTTGATGATTAAAAAGCATAGATTATAGAAAGAATGAGATTATTTTGTAGCCTTACAAAGAGAGAGAGAGAGGATAAATTCAAATGTCCTTGTAACTGCTGTTAAGAGCAGAAGCCATTTTTATCTTTCCTTTCATTTCCTTCTCTATTTCCGTATTTGCACCTTTTTACTTATTACTTTCCTTTTCTTCCTTTTCCCCCCAAAAATTGTATTGCTTTTTAAAAATAATAATAATAAACTTTTATATAGAATCTGTAATGGGAAACATATTGACACTTCATAGGTTAAGAAACAACAAAAATGTCTTACTGCTGTTTGAATGTAATACCTTCTTTGTGGTTTCAGAAACAGTATGCCCTTGCTTTCTTGAACCTTTTGTGGCTTTTGTTGTTTTCCTTCCTTACCTTGATAGCAAATTGTTCAAAATGGTTTGCTGCTTATATCTGATGTGCTGTACTTTCTGGGTTGTTTTTGTGCACTTTAAAGATTAAGTGGCACAGTAATTGGTCACTCAGTGGATTGCTTTTCTTGTACTGAAAGAGCTTTCCCAATGCAGGAAATTGCAGCATTGACAGCCCAATTTTCAAACCTGGTATAAAATGATTTACGGTGAGTCAGGTTGTAGGGATTTTTAATTATTAGTCATACATTTTTTCTTATGGAGGAAGTTTGTTTTGAGTTTATATGTATCAAGCAATATAAACTTATGACAGCTCACTAAAATTTCATTATAAACTTCATTCTTTAAAATGTGAGTATTTCAAGATTAAAGTTTACTACCTACTGTAAATTAAATGCTTGGTTACAATCCAATGTGAATGTACATTTTAATGTCACTTGGGTTCCAGTCATTGGAGAAAAGATGCTTTTGTTCATGCAAGCCTTCCTTGCATATTAAAGTTACTTGCGTGATGCTTTGGATGCCCAATTTTTGAAAAATATGGTTATTGACTCCATAAGGTTACAAAATTGTTAGAAACATATACAGTGTAAGTCCATTTGTCTATGAATTTTGAGATAATATGGATAAAATTACTTTTTTCTAAATGCAAGTTATAGTTTTATTGTCTTTTACCCATGTATTCAGGCCATCAAACAAATTCTTCTAGGAGTTTCTCATGTAATAATGATTTTATAATAAGGCTTTCAGGGTAAGAATGTTTAATGTAGTTTAAGAATCGCATTCTAAAAGTTGAATGTCACAATATTTACAAAATAGTTAACATATTTTAGTTGTAGTTTTAAAAAAAAGTCCTTATGTTTATTTTGGAATATTTATTTTTTTCTTTTGTTCAATTGTGTCCTATTCTAAGAATCCCTGCAGGTTTTTTTGGAAAGGTTTTTTGGAAAGGCTTTCTCTCAGGCTGAGAGAAAGTGACTGGACACCCAGTTGGCTTTGTGTCCAAGGCAGGACTAGAATGTATATTCTTCCAATTTCTATCCTGCTGCCTCAATTACCAAACTGGCTCTCATGTTTCAACACATAATAAACTGGAATTTTAACATTATTTAGTTGGAAAATGTCATTATTCAGCAGTATATGTCTGATAATTGATGGTTCTAAGTGCAAAATATTATGCTTGAAATATCTAGATATTAATAGGGTTTAATATCAAATACTAATTCCAATAAACTGTAGAGTCAGTTTCCAAAATTGTTATTGCACCAATGTCAACTCCTGGCACCCATAACTATAGATTGTCTCCATGATAATTTTTTTTATAATCTAACCTTCCAATGGCTTATTCATTTCTACTGTAACTAAATCCATCAACCTTCTGCTGGTCACCCTTTTATTATATTCCTGCATTACAGCATTCTCTGGCGCACTAGATCTTCAAATAATGTGTCTGAAGTAGGATAATTTGAGTCTGGTCATTTGTATTTAGAGTGAAAACTCTGGGTTAATTTGTTTTTTAGCTGTCCATGGTATTCTCAAGAATCTTCTCCAATAACAAAGTTTAAAATCATCAATATACTTCTTATCCTGTTTTTCCAGTCCAACTTTCACTTCTATAAAATGTTTCAGGCAATACCATGGCTTGCACTATTCTGATTTTTTAGGTATAGACATATTAAGACATCTGAATACCTTTTCAAGGCCTTCATAGATACTCCAAGTGCTAGTTAGAAGGATATTCCTTGTTTGATTCCTCCTCTATTATCAATAGTTGATCCTAAAAAGTAGATACTGTCTACCACCAGTAATGAATATATCATTAATTATCAATTTTAGGAAGATTATTATAATGTTATTAATTTAGTCTTAGCTATATTTAATTTTAGGTCTTTTTTTTACTGTGTCCTTGACTGTTATTAACTTGGAGATAGCAATAGCAATATACCACTTCATACAGCTCTCTGACTCTGTAAACTGAGTCAGCATATTGCCCCCAATAATCTGGATGTTCATTTTACCGACCTCAAAGGATGGAAGTCTGAGTCGACCTTGAGCTGGTGGGAATTGAATTGCTGGCAGTTGGCAGAATTAATCTACAATATTGCATTCTAACCACTGTGCTACTACAGTTCTGCACTTTCAGTTATTAGAATAATATCATCAGTATAATACAGATTATTGTTCTTCATGCAGCGTTAAAACCCAATTCATCTTCTTCCAATCCATCTTCCCTTAATATTTCATAATATATTGATTGAATATACAGCCTAGTCTCACTCCTTTCCCATCCTAGGTTGCAAAGTCTATTTCATCATATTCTTTCCATATTATGGCTTCCTGATTTATATATAGATTTCTTAATATTATGTTTTGAAATTGTTAAACCAATTATCATAGATCCTGGACTATTATAAATATTAAAAATAAATAAAAAGAAAATACAAACTTGAAGGAGAAAACAATTTCCCAATTTAATATACACTGAAATGATTACCAGGTGTTTTTTTTCTCAGAAGACCTGGTTGAAATTAATAAAGCAAGCTCACAAGAATTCAAGAACTTTTTAAAATTAATATGCAGAAAATGTAAGAAGAACATTACAAAAGAATTCAACAAAGTACATGATCTGTTCAGAATAATCAATATGTAAGTTTTGTTTTTGATAGTTTGTTTTGCACTTTTTTCTTGCCCCTTTTATATGGGGGTCTAGAAGGTAATCTCTTTTAGTTGAGAATACAGCTGTCATCTCTTCTTTGGTTTGGCAATATACAATATATTATTGGGCTGTTTACTTTGGACAATATGAAAAGCTCTTTCATAATAACTTGGATAAATTGAAAAGTTTAGAAGCTCACAATCTATACTTACATCATATAATTAATAATAGCATTAATTGACACCATTAAGAAAGTTATCAGCATTCAGCCAACATAGCCATGCAGTCTAATCAAATAATAAATAAATAAATGTAATAATAGACATATATCATCATATCAGATTAATCAGTCAAGAACAACTGTTCTGATATTTCAATAACTTGACTCTCTCCTCTCTCAATTTTCAGCTACTTGACAAGAATTCTTCATCATATTTGAGGAGCTAGCTGTGATAATGGAATTTGAAGTACTCTTTGTTAAGGGCATGGTATTCTCTTGGCTTTAAAATCTTCAGCAGGATTTGTTCTTGAAGGACATAATCATTGATCAGCAATACCCCCTGCTGCTCTGGATAAAGCTCATTCAATTGAGCAGTTCCTAATGAAGAAGTAGTGATCAAATGGAAATGTCATACAAAAGATTTAATTTTAAATTGTACAAAAATATTCTATGATACACAGAATACAGAATAACAGACTTGGACAGGACTTTAGGCATCTTCTAGTTTAATGACCTGATCAGGCAAGAAACCCTATATCATTTCAGACAAATTGTTGCCCAATCTCTTCTTAAAAATTTCCAGTTTTGGAGCATCCCCATTTCTGGAGGCAAGTCATTCCATGGATTAATTGTTCCAGGAAATTTCTCCTTAGTTGTAGGTTGCTTCTCTTGATTAGTTGCCACCCATTACGTCTTGCTTCTTGTCCTGCCTTCAGGTGCTTTGGAGAATGGGTTGACTTCCTCTTCTTTGTGACAACCCCTGAGATATTGGAACACTGCTATCATGTCACCATAATTCTTCTTTTCATCAAACTAGACATATCCAGTTCCAGCAACCATGCTTTATATGTTTTAACTTCCAGTCCCCTAACTATTTTTGTTGCTCTTCTCTCTGTACTCTTTTCTAGAGTCTCAACATCTTTTTTAAATTGTGGCAACCAAAGTCATATTATTTAGTAGCCTTCTATTCCTTTCAGATATGTTTTTAAAGTGCCCTAATTCTATGCTATTATAACCAAGGATATGTTTCATAGTACAGACTATCATCATAAGAGGTAAAGGATGATTTTTTTTCTTTCAATCTTTCAATAGTACATTAGGTAATAATCAGTCACCTTCCTTTATTCAATATCTCGTTGTCTTCTGGGTAATATAAATTTTGGCAAAAGCTTTTTCCCCCTTTATTCTTCATTTACTTTAAATATTATAATTTAAAGTTCATAAAATATCCTTGAGTCTTTCAATAGCATCATAACTTAAACAACATGTAAGAAGGAGTGCTTTTCTGCTTGTTCCAGAATTAACTGATCCAGTCTTAACTGATAACAGCAGGCATATGAATGGCTTAGATGGGAAAGACTTGGGGGGAAAAGCAACCCAGTTACAAGCGATAAAATATTAGTCCAACTGCAATATTCAAAATAGCTGGAATACCCAACACGGAAACATTTGAATCTGCCCAATTTTGTTTCGTGCTTCACACTGTTTTGTTTTCTACTAGATATAAAATTCTCAGAATGTAAGTGTTTTGTTTTATAGAAGCATACTCAAAATGGCTTTTGAGGTTAAATGATTTTGCACATCTCTACTGTTTGTGATTCTATGTAAATATTCACTAAAGCGGGGGACACAATTTCAACTGCCATAACTATAGCTTTAAGAATAATATTGTAATGTTTGTAATGGAGATTAGATTTCTATTTCTCTGAAACATTATTTTGGCAGGTTTCTTAAACCAACATTATTATCCAAAATAATATTCAAACATTTATGTTTATGGTAGCATGGAAGGCTTTAAAAGCATATTATACTGATATCTTCAAACCTTTATTCAGAATAAGTATATTACATTTATTTAGATTTGTTTACAAATGAATATTTATTGAATTGCAGCCAATAATCCAAAACTTTGATAATATTCCAAGTTATTAAAATACTCAGAAATATTTACAATTGATGTTCTCATTCTAATGCTTACCTACAATTATACCTGGAATTAATTTTTAGCTAAGCAAAAAGTCTATTGTTTTGATTTTTTTTCTTTTGTTGATAATCATATAGATTTCAGATGTGTGTGACTTGAAGAGTGAAAATAATAAAAGAGAATGTGTCAGAAAAAGGAACCATACAGTATTAAAGCTTTGCTAATGTAAACTTTGCCCAAATAATTTAGAAAAAAAAATTAAAATGTTGATAAACTTTATCGCCCCTCTAGGCTGAAGAAAAGGCACATTCAGAGGTAAATATGAATATACTTACTATATAATAATCAGTAAATTAAAATAGTTGTGGTTGTGTAGCATTTTATCTTATACTTAGGAACCTAGCTTTGAGATGTTCTCCTACCTAAGACATTTTTTCAAAGATTTGAATACCTGAGCCAGGTGTCTTTAGACAAGTCCATTTTAATAGTTGCATTCTGGTTGTACAGCAGTCTTCTCTATGATATTTTCTTATTATATGTTCATAAATATCTCAATATTTACCACAACATTTTCTTGGGTATCATAGCCTAATCACATCAGTTTCAAATACATACTGGAGTTTTATTTTGAATAATGTTTACAACATTGTACTATATTTTGATGGTACATTTATCTGTTTATTTACTGGATATGTACAGTAATAAATATATTACAACAGCATTATGTAGATTATCAATAAGGATATTAATTACAGCAATTTCTTAATTATCTTGTCATCTGCCCAGACCAATCACCATTGTATTGAATCTGTTTTAAAATGATATTTTAGTATATTTTAGAGTACATTTTTCTTAATCAAATATTGTAGGTTTGTTGAAGAATAACTATGATTTTTGAGGGAATTATTTTGGGGTATTTCACCAAGTATATAAATCATTAAATCTATTTTTCACAAGTTTAAAACTAACATTTTGTTTCAGGGTATAATTCAGCATTCACTAGCTTCTGAAAAAATACTTCTTAATTCTTAAAATATATGTTTATATATTTGTGTATTAAACCATGATATGCATATTGTTCATTTTATGAATATCAAAACAATGGAATTTATTTGCACAAATGTGGAATGGATTACATAGCTTTAAAAGAAGTTAAACAATTTTGCGACTGATAAGCTGTCACAAAGTACAATTTAGTCATGATAGCTATGGATAGAATGCAAGCATGATAGCATGGTAGAATGCAGGATAGTATTCTTCCACCATAATATCCAGTATAAGTATGAATATCAATTATTGGGGAAGAGTGGGAAAATATTACTGCTCACATTATTTCCAAGGTGGAAGGAAGATGGCTGTCTATTCCAGGAAGCAGTTGGTTATGTAATATAGTTGTCTATATTTTCTTTTCTATGATACTGGAGTAAAGAAGTCTTTTATCCAATGTATTCTTTGATGAAATATTTATATACAATTCAATCACACAACTGGGAGCAAAAAATACAGTTATATTTTATGTTCTAGATTATTAAATGGTGTTTAGTTAAAGCAAGTGACTAAAATGTCATATTTTAGAACTCTTTGTATTTTTCCTCATACCTAGCAAATTCATAAATTACGACGGGAACTGGTTGCATCTCAGGAAAAAGTGGCCACGCTAACATCACAACTGTCAGCAAATGTAAGTTATTTATTATCATAATAATTTTGATATAGTTTTATTCTGCATATATATCCACTGTAAATCTGTGAGAAAGATTGCTGCAACTGCCACTTTGAGGGGGGGAGTATTAGAGATGATATTCTGAGTTTTAAATGAGCTATGTGTTACATCACAAACAAATGTCAAGAGAGTTCTTCCAACATGAGTGCACTAATAAATTCTGCTTATAAATCATGAAAGTGTATTTAAGTACCAGCTGCACAAAAGCAGAAGCATCAACAAAACAAAATAAAAAAGAAGGTGGCATCATTAAAACACTAACATCCAAGAATGCATAAAAATAAGTTAAAACTTTTCTATTTTTTTTTCTAATGAACAGAACACCATGTAAAAAAAAATTACTTTATAGTTTTAGGTCAGTGAAAATCTCTGGGAGCAGAATGATTATTGGTTGCTTTTATTTAAAATATTTTATAATATTTAAGTTTATGAACAAATATTTGTTCACAAGTGGTGGGCCGGCATGCATGTGCATGTATGCAACTTGACTCATGCAAGTGGCAGGCTGGCGCACATATGCATGCAGCTTGATTGCAAGTTGAGTTGCACACATATGCACATGCATGGCAGCCCGTTGCTTACACGAGTCGAACTGTGTGCCTGCCTGCCCGCCTCTCGCACAGCCCTGTTCCAAATAGGCCAGGGCCTGGTAGCCATAGCCCGGGGTTTGGGGACTCCTGCTCTAGGACACCTGAAGGAACAAGGAATTGAACCTTGCTGAAAGTATTCTGTATAAATGCAGGAAATCCCAATTTTTTATTTTACATATAAGGAAGATGCTTTCCGAAACAAATGGGGGAAATTTCCCCTCGCCCCACTCACTGTGATTTCCATCGGTATTTTCACCATGTTTATTTTAGTCTCAAGGCAACATGGAAATACATGCAGCTTGTTTAGCAAACCATATCATTTACTGTAGATCTTCTTTAAATCTTTCGTTGAAAATTTTTGGTATTGTTAAAACAAACAAGCAAAAAACAGTAATCTAGTATGGAAATATTTCCATACATTTGATACATTCATACATGTAACATTAAATTTAAAATATATAGTTTTGAGCAGGTAAGGGTATGATTGAAGAAATTACTGTAAGTAGAAGCATTGTTGAAAATAATGAGATGGCAAAAATACATTCAAGCATCTTTTCTGGACTTTATCGAATGCTTTTTAAATCCTGATTACATTTGAATGTTTCCTCCTTTATCACAGGCCCATCTTGTAGCCGCATTTGAAAAAAGTTTAGGAAATATGACAGGCCGGTTACAAAGCCTAACAATGACAGCTGAACAAAAGGTATGTTTGAACCAGCAGATGTGGAGAATCTAACTTAATCCAATGGCACTGACTTTATTAGAGTTTGCATTGACAGAGGAGCACAGGAATAAACAACTAGGTGTATCTTTCTTTCATGACCCATGCTATCAAATCTTTACAATAAGCTACTCTGTAAGAATCACACTATTCATAATTACAGTTAGCAAGCTGTATCAGAAAGAAGTGGGAAGATAAAATATTTTATTTTCAGGTTTTAATTAAAATATTTGTGACTCTGGATTTAATGTGTATTAAAAATTTAACAACAAAAACTGATTGTAAAGCAACAGGAGTAACTTGAGAACATTATCAGAATACTAACTATTAGTTGACAATGTTTCATGTTTTTAGCCTTTCAGTCAGTGTTGTCTTGAGGGGGATAGGACAAATAGATTTGCTTGACTTCCCTGTTAAGTATGTTTAACATAATAGTTGAGATGTAAATTTAGAACATAATTTTGGTTTATGTTGCATCACATTGGGTGGCTAGTTCTTGACATTGCAGTACTCTAAACTAAACTATTTTCCAAGGAACACATAAAAGATTTTGTCTGGTTTCCAATATGTTTTTCTACCCACATAGTATTTTTATAGATTTGCCTCTGTTCTGCCATTGAAAAAAGAAAGAAAAAAAGAAAGAAAAAATCAGTCCCATTTTAAGTATTTATAGCATGGGTGTCAAACTCGTGGTGTCACATTGCCGTCACATGACA